ATGTCGTAGGTAGACGTGAGGTTTTTGATAAGAACGATGTGTTTGATGTGTATAGTGCCTTCGATATGCTTGCGGACTTCGTGAGTCAGGGCATCTCTTTTGTCGAGCTCCTTGATTTTGCTGTCATATCGTAAGATGTCGAAGCGTAGGTCTGCTCTCTCATGCTGTTAGATCAGCTCGATGAGTAGCGTTTGGGTTAATGCTCTGTATCGTCGGCCCTTCCGGACGAACAGGCATGATTGGTTGGGTTGCAAGTGAAGGAGCTAAAAGATTCCAAACACTGATTCCATTGCTGGTAGCAACGGATTTGACGCCAAATATCCACGGATCCCAGTCTTCAGGGTTTAAGAGGGTGATGGTTTTGGACGTCGACATGATGATGACCTCAAGACGGGAGTTCGAGAGGGTTCTTTGTTTATCGTGACTACTCCTTGAGCTGAGGCAATTCGAATATAAACAAAGGTTGCAGAGAAGTGTAAGATGAATCAATTAATTGAAGGTAAAAAGTCAAATTTTGCAGTCAAAAAGTGGCTACCGGGCTCATAACTATTGGGTTGAAAGGGTATTGGGTACTGAAGATCATGGAGAATTGATTGCATTGTAAAAGGTAGCTATCTAAGGTGTTTATATAAAGAGTGTAAGGTTTAGGCAGACATGAAGCATTTAGGCAGCAGAACTATAAGTGGATCAAATAAGGAAGTGGAGCAAAAGAGAAAGTAGACCCAGCACAACATAACCCAAGTCCAAAAGGGGTTTGGTGTTGAAATGTGAGTATGCAGTTTCTTAGGTCCTGCCTTTGGGTACTAATGTTTAATGTTTAGTGTTTTTATTCTTGGAGTTGTTTCTAAGGGGGAGATTGTTTAGATGGAAATCACATTTGAAGGGGGTTAAGAGCTTAATTTAAGTGAATAGATAGGTGTGTAAGTACTAACCGCCTCTCCTTATACCTTTATGTTTAATTTATTTACTACTAGGGTAAGATGGCTAAACTAAATTCTAGACATACCTAGGTTATATATAAAAAGATATTATTCTAAAAGTGACGTTTTCTTAGTGTGATTTGAAATAATTAAATTCAATACGTACTTAGTAATCTAAGTGAGTTGGGACAATTACGTTAATTGTTCCAGAAATCTAGTATAATAGGGTTGCAAAGGTATTTCTAGAGTTTCGCCTAACTATCTTATAATAACCATATCCTCCTTACACCACTGCAACTCAATAAAAGAAACATACTCTCAAACCTTCCAGAATCCCTTTTAGCTCTATTATACTAATTTTTATACTAACACTTTATAGTCTTTAAAGCCTATAACTTATAGACTATAGTATATATAACCCCTCTACGGACAAGTAAAATAGCGGTAAAGGCGCTCTTAATAATTTATCTCTATCTATTCAGGTGATTGGCCTATACATATAGAACAATGTATTCAATCAATTTGGATTACTCGTTCATTCGCTCATTCAGGTAGTTTTATTTTCTAGGATAATTACGCAATTGGTTATAGAGCGGCGAATTATACTAAATAGTATCCCCCCATTTCCTTAACATCCAATGTTGCATTACACACACCTAAACTTCTTATCTAAACCCCCAATCAGAACCCACAAACCAAAAAGAGATAAGAACAACAATGAATACTAATCACCCCCAAAAAACACCTCCCACCAGCACTCAACCTCCTCCAATCACACAATCTCCAACCACACACACTCCTTTCCCACAACCCCACATATCTCGACGATCACTAATTCCGCGTCTCGCTAAGCGACTACTGGAGCCTGGATATTGTCCAGATAATCTAAGTGAAGCAGTCATATGCTGAATAATACGATGCATATGGTATTCCCTTTTTGTTTCTCGTGAGGAGCAGTGGGATGATTTCTGAACATGTATTGAGATATTCCTAATCTGGCGAGATGTCTACAGGTTATTGTGAAAGGGGAGGAGAGAGAGGGAGGTGTATATAAGAGATAACGCTAGCTAATTTGTGTTACGAAAACCAATATTATAATCACAACCTAAAATCTCAGAAACAAAAGCTCCATTAATATCATGCTACTTGTATAAACTCCCATCAATCCAAATCCCAAGAAAGCTACAAACTTCCTCTCCCCAAGGTAGATGCCACCCACAATGAAAGAAGCAATCCATCGCCCCCTCCCTCACAACATCTCCCTAGCCCCCATCCTAACCGCAAAGGAAGGCGAGCTGATCGTCAAGATCGTCGTGGCGGGCGCGAATCGCATTGATTGGAAGGGGGCTGATGAGGAGGTTGCGAAGGCGATGTATGGGTTGTTGAAGAACCCGTTGCATAGGAATGCGGAGATGGATTTCGCGGAGGATGTTCATGGTATGTCTCCTCTTCTATGATGTGGGAAGTGAGAAAGGGGGGGTTTGGAAGAGGGTACTGATGGATGGATATTTGTAGAGGTGGGACCACAGGTTTATGGGTTCAGTGTTGGAGATCGGGTTGTGGCTCTTAATCATAGGGGGTATGCAGAGTACGGCGTGGGACCCGCTCATATACCTGATGGTATTTCTTTTTCTTTTGAAGGTATGTATGTATTTCCCGTGCTCCCCTTCCCCAAACATAATACAAAAAAAGGAATAGAGAACTGACAACAAAAACAGAAGCAGCAACAACAGGCTGGGCATATATAACCGCGGCCCTAGGATTATACAAACACCTTCGTCTCCCTCCCCTCCCCATCAGCATCCTCAACCCATCCTACCTCTCAATCTACGGCGCTACCTCCGCCACAGCTCTCTACGCGGTGAAAATCGCGTCTCTGTATAACATCCACCCCACCATCGCAATCGCAAGGGCCTCAGGTCCAGAACCAATATCTGCGAGCGGAGAAGGGAGACATACTATTAACTTACCGCGCCGGAATAGAGAAGTTACAACAGCAGGTGAGGGAGTCATTAAGAGGAAAGGAGTTAAGGTATGTATACGACACCATCTTCACCACCCTAACAATCACCCTTCTACACCCTCCCTTCTTCACCCTCTCCTCTCCATCCCCTCAAGAAAAACCCATCTACCTCCTCCTCCTCTCCGGCCCTCATCCCGCCCCACATCCAAGTCTCGAACCCGTTCGCGCCAGGGAACCCACGGATCGGGATAGCGTGGAGGGACTGGGGAAAGGAACGTCACCCCGCGGGCTTTTACACAGGCGGTCTTTAGGTTCCTTCGTTTTGCGCTGGAAGAGGGGATTTTGAGGTCATGAGTATTGGATGTTGAGCGGGGATTGAGGATGTTGAGGGTGGGGAGGAAGGTGGTGTTTAGGATTAGGGAGACGGTGGGGTTGTGATGGTGTTTGGGTGATGGGAATATCGATACAGTAGCGATGTTTTAGAATGATGAGGTTTTAAGAAAGGAAAGCGGTAATGACGTAAGACGAAATTATAAATATAAATATAAATATAAACATAAATAGAACGTATACCTTACTCGAGTAGGTAAGATTACTATTCTAAACAAATCCCAATACAAGATCCCAAGAACAACTTCAAGATTTAGCCACGTAGTTGTAATCTCACTCGCTACTTTACCACCTACCTATAATTACCCGATCTTGGTATATCTCTACATCCGCATTAGTAATCTTACATCCATCATCTTTACTCTATAACAGTACCTGGCTAAGTAATAAAGAAATTCTTAGGTATTCTTGTTCTCACTTAGTAAATCTCCCTAACAGTAGCCCCCTACCCTCTCCCATGTTCTTCCTTTCTTACTAATAGACACACCTATACACCTACCCATGTTCTTCCCTTCTTACTTATGGACACACCTATACACCCCCACAAGCAGAGTGGCGGGGAAATACGAGGGGATAAGAATACGGGGTCTTGGAGTCCAGAGATAAGAAGACAGTAAAAACTCGTATATAAATAAAATTAAGCATCCCAGCACCAAGAAAAAAAAAGAAGCGCTGCGGCAGAGAACAACACATCAAAACACATGAATCAAATGACATCAAATTGAAGTATCCATTCCAAGAATTCGGAATTCCAAAAATAGACTAGACTGGAGAACCATTCATAAGAGGGTAATATAAGATTTTTCTTCAATGAGTTTATTTAGAATAGTGGCTTAGAATAATCTGCTGTAAATCACGAGAGTAAAGAAATAAGAAAAACATGCGCCTCGATGCTTGGAATGGTAAATGAATAGTAGTAAGTCATATGGAGTTCCTTCCATAGAAAGACGTTCATTAATGAGGATTAATTTTTATTTGACTTTAGGATTACGTACCGTTCTTCGAAAAGAAATATCCGGAAGGCCGGAATGGAAAGTATGGATGGTGTCACAACGAATGAGTGAGCGATGATGTAGTACCCAAGGGGAAAGAAAAGTGTGGAGTGGAGTGGCATCGAGATCCATCACCACGAATCGAATTCTGATTCCTCAAGCTCTCAAGTCCTCTGTCCGACTTTTTGATATCCAGGAATTCTCAAAGCTTCAGCCCTATTCATAGTCCGTACATTTAATCATAAAAAAATTTCCGACCTTCTGCGCCGCCATTATTCCAGAACGATTCAACGAACTCGATCGCTGCTTTTTCGCATTGAATGCCGATGCTGACTTACAGGGGAAGTTCCAGGATTTCCAAGAAAATCTATTTTTTATTTTTTTTGCCCAGGCCAGAGCTTTGTTCAAATGTGGGTGCCAGGGAAGAGTTTGAGAGTTCAAGCGAACAAATGCAACCTGATACATGATCAACGGTGATGATGAACAAGCGACATTGCTTACACTGGTAATTACGAAGTTATGTGTTACCAGAAAACAAGTTGCAAAGGACTTGGGAGATGATCTCGATAGGGATCCTCCCCGTTGTGAAATTCTATGATCCTTCTCGTTTTTTTCCAGGGCGACAGGGTACTTGATATCCACTTCCACTCCCTGGGTTAGCTGTTGTTAAGGTGGCTTTGGGTGGAGTTTGTCGGCTGCAGCGACGATCGGTTCCGGGGGTGGCTCGAGCAGTTTCCACGTTTCTGAATGGACTTTTGAAGTTCTGAAAACTGGTTATGGGTTTCATAAAATGATAAATATGATTATCGTCTTATTATTATCATTATCGTCCTATAATTGTTTGCAAGTGTCTCGTGACTAAAAATGGAGTCAGGCATCACCTCATGGATGGTATGGAAACACGAGTACCAATACTCACTCTCCGTAGGCGTAGGCGAGAAAATACGGCAAGGAGAGTAGCATCCGGGGGTTGGCGAAACTGCAGATTAGACAACTATCATTCATTTGTTAGGAAGAACACCACGAAGCAGCACTAGACAGCGCTACTGTACCTACTGCCCGTATTCCGTATCGCCTGTGGCTGTCCAGTCACAGACTAGCTGATTAATAGGTCCAATGCAGTTCGGGGTAGGGAGTGGAAGTGGGAGTACTGGTGTATAATAATGATACGCGTCCAACGGTCACCGTCGGAATGCTTTGCATGCAACCCATGCCATGTTGCGTCGCCCATGGCTGAAAACCATTGACAGGCGCCGACGAGACGATGATGAACATGAAAGACGCAAACGCATGGCTGACGAGGTCTGGGGGTCCTATATACTATACTGATAGTTATGGATGGATTCGGTAGTCGGATGTGAGGCAGTATAAATTTAGGTACATATATTGTACAAGTATGAATGCGGAGAGGAATGGGCGGATCTCCCAGCCTTTTCATTCTCGGCAAGACAGACTCAGGCGCTACTGCCACCACCACTGCCACTGCCACACACACCACTGCCACTGCCACACACACCACTGCCACTGCCACACACTGACTTGCCTTTACCCGTCCGTTCTTGCCCCCTGCGACAATGCTGCGTCACACCTTGCTGGGCAGTACCCACTCTGGCCCCCCAGTTGCCCTCAAAACTCTATCTGGCCGGGCTACAGCAACACACAGTGACTACTGACCACTGCTGACCTTGCACTCCGTACCCCCACTACCCTGCCCTGCCCTGCCACCTTGAGCCTGATACTCTCCCTCCTCACTTCCTGTCAGCTACCCTACCCTACCCTTCCCTTCTCAACCCAGCCCGACAACAACACCACCACCAAAATATCAATCGTTCCATCTATTTTTCTTATTCGTAATCGTCTCTCGTATCCTTTGCAAGATTGGCTCCTTGGGAAACGTCAATCGACCTGTCGCTCTAGATACATACGCACTCTTCTCCTTATCCGTCCGATAATTATTCACTGAGGAGCCATTGCATAGCTTCGAACGTTACTCATATCTAGCTGCAGGCCCCCAACACTTTTCTGGGTCTCAGTCTCAGTCATACCACACATCTCGCAGCGTACTCCGTACCGTAGCGTAGCGCAGCACGCAAAACATTCAGACTCACATCGCAATCGCCTCAACACCATCCTCTGCCACATGCGCTTCCACATCCCGTAATCCTGATTCGACCGCACACCTCGCAGTGGGTGTCATTTCAACCGAAACGTCGTGAGATTCCTTTCCCAGCCTCCACCAAATTTCCCAAATCCGTCAAAACCACCGAGTTCCACTGCAGTAGATCATATCCACTGTTATCGCCAGCTTTCCAAGAATCCCGTTTCGTTTCACCCACGATAAGCACATCCACCGACTCACGAGGAATTCCCAGGATCACCGAAGACCCACTACCAATCACTCCACCGACTCGTTCCCACTCTGTCGAGCGGCGCGATTAAAATGGCTTCAAATCAATCTTTCCCTTCCCAGCCGGGACAACCGCAACCTCAGAGACCAGGACAACAGAGACAACGAGCCAAAACAGGATTCAGTTTCCGTTCCAACCACTCCCAGAAATCCAGCGGTAGTAACCATAAGATTGAGGAAACACATCAAGAAAAGGAACAGAAACGACTACACTCCAAAGCAGATCCAACAATGGCCTTGAACGAAGCAGAGCCATGTAAGTGCTGTCTGTCCCCGTACCTCACAACACCACCCATCACCCCCATGGGAACAACCAAACTGACTCTTATCACAGCGGCTGTCGCCAGTCACATCAAATCATCGTTGGCACCAATTCGCGCCATTCAACACCGTGACGCGCAAGGAAATCCAATCGGTTCGTCCACTCCTTCGTCCACTCCTTCGTCCACCTTTCTTATCGTGAACCAATTTCTAACATTTCCATTCTGCAGCCGACCCTGATCGTTCCAATCCAACGCGAAGTCGATGGGAAAGACCACTTGATACTATCCGATCATTTGAGGCAGCTATTGATGGTAACTATTCACGCAAATCTTATATCCGTTCTGGTCAGACTTCCTTAAACCAATTGCAAAAGCAACAGTGGACGAATATGGATACTAACATTATCAGCTTCAGAATCTGGAGATACGAACTCGAATTACGATCGCCGCAGCAGTTATTATGGAGGTACGCTACACAATCTTCTCCCTTCCGACTTTCTCGGTGGACATATTTGCCACGGATTTTGTTGTGTTACTGAAAAAGACCCAAGCGGGAATGCCGAATGCGCAAAGCCACTACCCCAAACCTCAAAAATCAACCAGGAAAGGCTTGCACATACTCTCAGAGTCAAAGCCTGGAATTTTTGAGCTTTGCAATCGCTAGTTTCGGCTATTGGCGTTGGGGCACGTCAAAGTGGTGCTAGTGGGACACGATTTTAGTTTGGCGTTCGTATTGAATCACCGCTAATGCACTTCTACAGGAACCCAAGCGGCTCAAAATGATCGCCCTCGATATGGTGGACGCCCACAATCTTACAGACCCGAGAGTCAATATGGAGGAGGAATGAATAGACCGGAGAGTTACTATACATCGGACAACTACGCTGCAGGTCCAAGTAATGGCTACTATCCAAATCGAGCTCGATACCCGCGAACAGCTTCGGAACCACATTTCAACAACGGAGGCGTATATCCAGGCCCAGCAAATCAGCAGTCGTATGAGACGGTGACAACCGCATCGGGTGGTTCTATGGAGCCTGCTGGATATACGACGGATCCAAGTAGCGAAAACAGTTCCGTCGACAGATTTGCAGCTATTCCAGCAGCACCAAAAGAACCAGTCGAGACGTATGGATTCAATGGATTTGGAAATACCCCACAGTTTGTTCCGCCGGGAAATGGTATAAATACACAGTACGCTAATAATAGTGTACCAAGACAAATGCAGCATCAGACTCCACCACCGCCAAGTAAGGATACGACAACTACAGGACCAATCAAGTTGGGAGTGACGAGTGGTAATGCGGGAGTTCCGTCAGCGAAGGCAGAGAAACGAAAGTCGTGGTTCAGCAAAAGATTTTCAAAGTCATCATAGCGTGGTTCTTTCTTTCGGCCGAATTGGAAATGGCAGAAGAGGCACTAATGTGGTGGAAGGCGGCCTCAGAATGGATGAATGCAAGTATTCTGTTATGATGTTATGAAGGAAATTACCTAGCGCGGAGGGATTGTTGGACAGACTGGATTATTAGGATTGATCCTAGCATTTGGCGGCGTATATGGAGTTTTCGCTTCTCAAGTTCGCTCTTTCTTAAATTGACGTGGGTTTCGTGAGATAGATACCCAAGTAAGCCAGCCAGCCCGCCTCGGGGCAAAGAACTGGATTCAATACTTAATAATCTTTGGATATAAATATGAGGTTCCAAAGTCTTTGTATTAAGACATTAAAGACTTCCTCTCCTGTCCTCTATAGTGCCTCATTCAATAGTCTTCATAGCTTAAAATTCCTACACTTGAGATTAAATACATTTCACTTTCCCTTCTTCTCCTTTTCTGCAGCCTCAATTGCGTCACTCTGATCCTCTCTGAACGCAACGATGACGTAACCCATCAAGACAATGTTTGCCATGATTGCCGCTGACGCTCCTGCATATGTTGAATTACCTGAATGTTCACTGTTAGTTTGGATGAGCGATATAATGATTGCCAAGATGGGGCAATTTTATACAGCTCTAGGGCCAAGCCACAGGATAAGGAAGAGTGAGTGAATGGATAACGGACCACGGAAGATGGTGTCTAGCGAGAGATAGTAGGTTCCCAAAGGACAGACTACCATTGCTAGGGTGAAACCGAGGAGTTTGAAGATTACGTGTCTGTGGTGGGTGTTAGTTGTGATTTTGGGATGGGTGGCAGGGTGAGATGGGATTAGAGGCTTTATAGAGAGAGGGGAGAAGACGTACGCTGGAACGGCAGGGGCGATGATGCTTTTCTCTCCAGCTTTTTGTGTGAATTCATTGGTCTCTTGTGATGGGATTGTTCTGTCTGATGAGATGGGTCGTCTGGTAGCCATGGTGATTGGTTTTTGATGGGGGGTTTCCTTGTTGGTGGGGGCTATGGTTGGGTGATGGTCTGTGGAGAGGCTGTGAGAGTACAAAGCAATTGGATTTAGATTTTATTCACGACGCTGAGTGTAGTTGATGGGGGTTGGCCAAGGTTGGGTATTGAGTAGTGGTAGTATTAAGGTTGTGGTGTTGATACAGAGGCTCTTGGCTTTGCTAGGTTGGAGAAGAAGGGCTGATCTCGTGTTTCTCTCTTCGCGCTCCCAGCACCCGTGAAATTCCACGCGTAAAGTGCATGGAGTAATTTTTTAGCGTCGCCTTCTTTTGAGCCTCAGATTGTTGTTGCTTTAGGGGTTCACCTTTCCACGCATCCCTCCTCTCACAACTACTACACACTTTCGACACATCGTTCTGAAAATAGTGATCAGAAATTCGTTATTATACGCTTTTGAGTGAAGGCCTTCTGTTGGTGGCTTGTTGTGTGCGATTTGGTTCAAGTTGTGGGTGAAGGGGGAAAAGTACCTAGCGACGCAACTCTCAACCTCAGCTTTGCGACTTTGCTCTGAACAAGCAACTCTAGCCGGCCACCCTCAACCTCAACACCTCCTACTGTGCACACTCTTGGATCTGGCAACGAACCTCGCGCAAACTCTCATTGTCTTTGCAGCCTTTCGCACAGCAGCATGGCCTTCAACCTGGGCGCCAAAGGTGGCATGCTGATACCCGATTCCCCCGCCGTCAAGAGACAGAAAACCAATGGCGGATACAACGATTCGACTTCGAACTCGCCTGCAGTTACTAGATATAATTCGGAGGAGGATAGCGGCGATGATCTGCTCGCGGGATATGTTCCTGACACACCAAAGCGACCACATGAGACGCAAGCAACTCAGATAATTGCGAAGGGTCTAACGAGTGCCTACGAGACTCAACCAACACAACTCCTCTCAAAGCCCACCTCTGCCTTTGAAACCCAACCTACTCAAATCTTAGGAAGACCTCCAGTTTTTGAGACTCAACCGACACAAATCCTTGATCGTGTTGCGTCTTCACCTGCGACTCCAGCGAGTGTACAAGTCCCAGTCTCTTCACCATTTACAGGTCGCGACCAACCTACACCGAAGCAGCCCACACCACAGCAAAAGCAGAATGCTTCCGTCCCACCACCAAGAAGTCTGGCTTCTTCCATGGCACCTGCCGGTACGGCATATAAACCACCTGCGGGTATCATTACCAAACCTACGCCATTCTCAATTGACCTGCTCGACTCGGACGAAGATGATGGACCAAAATTCGCAGGAGGAGACTCGGATAGCGATGATGGTAGATTGGCCAAGGCGAATATCAAACCTTCAACATTTGCACCGAGAAGTGTAGGCGATGGTTCATTTGGTTCAATGAGTGGTAATAGTGTCCGACCTGCTAGTGCTTTTTCGTCTAGAAGTAACCCCACTGTATCGAGAGGAAATGCCAAGTTCAATGAGATTGTCAAGAATGCGGCTTATAGACCTGGACAACAGAATAGACCGGATCGAGCTCGACCAATTCTGGATATTAGTATGAGGGAGATCACAAATGGCGATATTCGAGACAACATTTACAGAATCCGAGAAGTGTTCCCTAGTACCACTGTTCATACTGCAAGAGAGGCTCTTTTAAATTGCCGGGGTAATCTTGACGACGCTATGAATATGATTGCGAAGGCAAGCGAGGATGTACAGGTTATTTCGGATGATGAGCTCTCTAGGCCCACGACTTTCCCACCAAAGCAAGAACCTCAAATGAAGAGAGGACTGGACATGCCAACCAAATCGATCAGAGACAAGTATTCATCGACGCAAGCCATGAGTGCCCACAGACCAGGTCCAAGTACTCCAGTTGCCAATCAGAAAAAGAGAAAACTCATGAAGGGGCGCAAGAATGTTACTCCTGGGGACCCATCACCTGCCAAGCCAATTACTGTGGAAGATGATGAAGAGGAACCGATTGCTCTCGATTATGAGACTGATGATTCTGCAATTGCTTCGGAAGAGGAAGAGGATCCTGAACTTGAGGCTAGACTCTTGAAATATCTCAATTCCTGCAGTGTCGAGGAACTTGTAGAGCTTACGAATATTACTACGGAGAGTTCAGAAATGATGGTTGCTGCTCGCCCTTTTAGAAGCCTGGACGCTGCAAGAGCAGTTGAGAATTCGAAGCCCTTGAAAAACGGACGAAAAAGCACGAAAGCTCCTATTGGTACTAAGATTGTTGACACTGCCCAGGATATGTTTAGTGGTTACGAAGCAATTGACATTCTGGTTTCGAGATGCGAGGCTCTTGGTAAACCACTTGCAGAGGAAATGGCTACTTGGGGATTTGATGTTTTCGGTGCTTCCAAGGATGGAGAGCTCGAAATGACTTCACTTGAGGACGAGGATGTACGCGACTCTGGTATTGGATCTCCTACTAGCACTGGATCGCCCAAGGATGATGACGAGATTCGAACTGCGACTCGAAAGCGAAGTCATGCCAACTTTCTCAAGAAACCAAACATGATGGCCGATGACTGCGTACTCAAAGATTACCAAGTCGTTGGTCTGAATTGGCTCGCATTGATGTACAGACGGAAGTTGAGTTGTATTTTGGCTGATGAAATGGGTCTTGGAAAAACTTGTCAGGTTATTGCGTTTTTGTCTCATCTTGTGGAGAGTGGTAACCCTGGCCCTCATTTGGTTGTTTGTCCTGGATCTACTTTAGAGAATTGGCTACGGGAGTGTAATCGCTTTGCTCCGCAGCTTGTAGTTGAGCCTTATCATGGTATGTATTTCTTTTTTGTATGAAGATATCAGGCTAACGAAACCCAGGTCTTCAGAAGGAACGGGTTGAGATGGCTCAAGCTATTTTGGACAATCGTCGTGAAATTAATATTGTAGTCACTACGTATGATATGGCGCAGAAGAAAGAGGACAATAAATTCATGAGACGCCTGAATCCTGATGTAAGCTTTCCAGCCTTTTCATTATCTTTTGGGCTCCTTCTGATGTTAGCAGGTATGCGTGTATGATGAGGGTCATTACTTGAAGAATGTCAATTCCCTCAGATACCAAGGTCTCGTCAAAATCCCGGCGACATTCAGACTTCTTCTTACTGGAACGCCACTTCAAAACAATCTCCAAGAATTGGCTGCATTGTTAGCATTCATCATGCCCACCGTTTTCCAGGAGCGAGCTGAAGACTTGAACTACATCTTCAAGGCCAAGGCAAAGACTGGAGATAAGGACCATGCTGCTTTACTTTCAGCCCAGAGAATCGCTCGAGCAAGATCTATGCTTACGCCTTTCGTTCTTCGTCGAAAGAAGGCTCAAGTCTTGAAGCATCTCCCTTCCAAGACATGCCGGGTAGAATACGCAACCTTGCATGAAACTCAAAGGAAGATTTATGATGGGCATATCAACCAAGCTCGAGAGCGAGCTCGTCTTCGTGTTGAGGGCGCCAAGATCCCAAAGAATGCTAACGATGAGAATAATCCTTTGATGCAACTCCGAAAGGCCGCCATCCACCCTATGTTGTTTAGACGGCATTTTACGAATGAGAAGATCGAAAAGATGGCCGATATCTTACGTAAAAAGCTTCCGGGTGATTTTCCTTCTGACAAGAACCACAAACGAGAGCATCTGATTGAAGAGATGCGATCAGGTTCCGACTTCTGGTTGCATCGCTGGTGTTACGATTTTGAATGCATTAGAAAATTCGACGTCCCCGATCTCGAATGGATGAATTCCGGCAAGGTTGAATCTATGCTTAAGCTCGTCAAGCAATACAAGGAAAACGGTGACCGCGTCCTTATCTTCTCGCAATTTGCACTGGTTCTTGATATTCTCGAAGCGGTCTTCAACTCGTCCCTTATTGTCTTCACCCGTATCGATGGATCAACTAAAATCGACGAACGCCAATCCCTTATTGATACCTTCCGCGATGACGAGTCGATTACCGTCTTCCTCCTTACCACTAAAGCGGGAGGCACGGGTATCAATCTTATGTATGCTAACAAGGTTATTATCTTTGATGGCTCGTTCAATCCGCAAGACGATCGACAGGCGGAGAATCGAGCGCATCGTGTTGGTCAAACAAGAGATGTTGAGGTTGTTCGACTAGTGACGAAGAATACGGTTGAGGAGGCGATCTATGCGTTGGGACAGAGTAAGCTGGAGTTGGATGGTAGAGTGGCAGGTGATGATGAGGCGGCTGCGGAGGTGGCGGGGGAGAAGGCTGTTAGTAAGATGTTACTAGAGGGCATTGGGCGCGAGGACGAAGAAGACAAGAAGCCCGACAAGGATGTGAAGAAGGTAGAGGAGAAGAAAGATGGGGATGAGAAGGTCCAGGAGACGACGAAAAAGGGGGAGAAGGAGAAGCTTCCTGGACGGCAGAAGTCGATTGTTGATATGATGGCGGGTTCTTCTTCTTCTAGTCAAGGTCAAGCTAAAGGAAAGGAGAAAGCGGATGAGGATTCAAAAGGAGATGCTTGTTTGAGAAGGCTTTGGATGTAGTGGTGCATGGTGCATGGTGCATGGAATGGGATGAACTTGGGCTGGGCTAGTCTATTGTTGTGGAAAAGAGATGAGATGTGATGAGATGAGTCTTGTTTTTTTAATATCGTTCTTTTTCTTTTCTTTCTGAAAAAGAGAAAGTTGTGCGTTTGTTAGATGGATGGGTGGGAGTGGGGAATTGGAGTCGTGGGCGTTGTCTTTCTGTCCTTTTTTCTTCTTTTTTTTTCCCTTTACGCGATGAGGAAGCCACCTACATAGTCGTGGGCGTTGTCTTTCTTTCTTTCCTTTTTTTCCCCCTTCATTTACGCGATGAGGAAGCTATTTACATCTACACTTACCCTTGTGTGGTTGTGGGTTGTGGGATGAGGGTGTGGGTGTGGGTTCATCTGAATCTTCTCTTTCCCCTTCCTTGTGTTGCCCTCGTGTTGTGAGGGGTGGCTGGGAGAAAGGGAGTGGGGAGGGGGTAGTGAGGTATAGTAGGAGAGGGGGAGGGAAAGAGGGAGGGAGGTGGTTAGATTAGATTTGATTAGATAGGATGAGTGGAGTGGAGTGGATGTGGAATGAAAAGATCATATAATATTTTGAGGATTTTTTTGTGAGTGAGTGAGTGAGTGAGTGAGTGAGTGAGGCAGTTCGTACGATGGGAAAAATTGTAATAAGACCTGTCTATCTATACTTTGTACTCTATACTAACTACCTACTAATCAACTAATCTTATTACGGAACTTTAACCTATTCTTTCCCTAGGTATATTGAATACTTAAGGATAAGTTAATTTAAATATAGCCTTTATTTAGTTCTACTAATAGAATTAAAATATAGCATAATAATTCGTTTAACTTACTTAGTAAATAATAGGTATTATATAAAATAATTAAGAATAAGCTATAAGTAATCTAGAATAATAAGAATAAGGTTAAGATCTAGGCTAACCTCTAGTTTAAGTGGTAATAGTTTATAAGATTTAACTTAAAGATATTAGTTACTTTAATTCTAAGGATAATAAAGGAACTATTAAAATTAATAGTAAATTTATAGTTAATATAAATATTTTTACTTTCTATAATAAACTTTAACGTTTTATTTAAGATTATACTCTACTAGAAGTTATAGTATTATTACTATCTATTTTATATAGAGACGCTATAACTTAGTAGAATAATAAAATAAGTAAGTAGAATTAAGACTTATTACTTATAAATCTTAATAATCTAGTTAAACGTTTAAAGGATTAATTTTATATAAATCTATTAAGAGCGAACTTTATACTTAATAAGGTTTAGTTACTAAAGTTAAAAGAGACTCTTACTTAATTTATAATAAGAGTTTAAAGAGTTAAGCTTTATTAAACTAAGCTTTTTGTCACGAATCACGTGCACACGTGATAAGTGAAGACCAGGCGGCGTCCTGACAGGTCAAGCACATCTATAGACTTATAGCAAATAAGGGATCGTTTGGGCTAGCTAAGCGATCCAGGGATTTCCTTGGGTTGGAATCACGTGACCAGAGACATGGCCGACACGGTCGACCGTGTCGACCATTCACGTGACCAGCGACTGTTCGACCATGGCGACCATGGGAACGAGGGTTCTATATAATACTGGCACGTCTGCCATTAGATAGGAGCTTCGTGCTCAACTTAGTTATCAATCTTATCATATTAGTTTGACATCTTTGATACAAGTAACGAGTTCACTTCCAAGTGAACAACCCGATAGTCTTCTTCTTATCATAGCATACCAACCAGCGAACACCCAGCCAAGTTTAGTTAGCCAGTTTGAGTATTCGTTACAATTAGTCGCTTAGACTAGAACTACTTTTTATAAGTCACGTAATAAATTCTAATTAGAATTCTAAATATTCTACCCTTTAGAATAGAATATTTTAATACTTATACTATTTAGTATAGAATATTCTATAGGGGGGTCTTAGAATAGAATAGAATTATAAATACCGAACCTTAAGAGTAAGAGAGAGAGAAAGTAAGAGAAAGGAATTATCTACCAATTGCAAGTACTGTTAAACCGAGGTATACCTACATATAACACCTATACTAAGGGGTAGCGGTATAAAATTCAGAATTCCAATCAGAGAACTCTTTTTTTTTATGTCTTTATAGGAAAGGGAGAGGATTAGAGAGAGGATTAGAGCGAGGAATGTGATAGGTATGATGATAAGTTTGATAGCAAATCATTAGGTAGGTATATACGGGTATCTCAGCAAACTATGTATCTATGTGTATATCAAATCATCCATCATCCATTATCCATCAGCAATATCTTTCTCTCCTTCTTCCAGGTATAATATTCTCCTCCAGTTACATTATCATATGCCAATCAAAAGCCAGCCCCAAATCCCAGCAAGAATACCTATACCCCATACCCAGCAACGCAAAATAAAAACCCCATGGGCACATAGCAACCCAATTCCAATGGGAACTTCAAAGCAACACCCTCTCCACAACCACAGCCGCTATCCCAAGAATCGCAAAGCTGTTCCAAGAAGGCGAAGAGGTCCATATAGCCGCTGCTGCTGTAGAAGTACTCGTGCCCACAATTTTATTCCCGGGTCCGCAATTCCACGCAACGCAAAGAGACGGCGTAGCCGCTCCTCCAGCTGCAGTCACGACCCCAGTCGGCGTAATCGGAAACCCTTGCTGATCGTAGCTAACAGGTACATTCGACCATCCGGGCGTCACATATTTAGTCGTGGCAAATCCACGATCATCCCATCCTGTAATGATTTCAACCCCAGGCTGCGAAGATGGCAATCCCGGATAAGAAGAAATAGTTGATGGTGGAAGATCCTGTTTCATGTCAGTACAATGTCAAAATGGGAAGTTTGGTGCGGGGTTAAAAATAACGCACTCACTGCTGCAGAATTTGCAGGTACTACTTTTCCGGAAGACGTGATGATCCAGCCGCTAGGGAGACCAGGGGCACTTGTTCGAACAGGCGTTTCGGTTGTCAACGTTGCAGTTCCAACCCACGGCCAGCCAGTCTGGTGTGAGGTATCTCGATTTCCACCCAATCCGGCTGGAATCAAGGGCGAGGCAGATGTGATTGCTGGAACTTCTGCGGTAGAAACTCCGGTTCTTGCACCACCTGAGTTACCATTTATCTTCCCTCCTATTGCTTGAATTGAACCCCATTTTCCGCTAGTGTCGCCGTATTTGTATTGAGTTCCAGTTGAATAATCGGTCACCGCAAGGGATTGAACAGTCATGGTAAATGGACCTTTGGAATAATCGGTAGGTCCACGAGCCCAGGAAATGGTTCCAGGTGGATTTGAAGCGTCTCCTCCAGCCCATGATCCAAATTTAACTTGCATTGGCGATTCAGGGTATTGGTTGGCGTCGGCCGTTGCTGGTGTAAGAACTCGAACGGTCTTCCCTCCAACCTGCCAGACAATTTGATTTTGAGTCCATTCAATGGAGTAAGTAATGAATTGACCCTGATTGTTTGGCGCGGGATTGAAGGCTCCACGATTGTACGTTGTAACATCTCCTTTGCCAAAATAGTTTGTTTGCACTTCGGAATCATCCGCTCCCAGCCACTCCATATCAATCTCGTCTAGTGTATCCGACTGTAAAACCAACGAGCTCACGATTCCGGCACCTGGTGCTGCTTTCATGGTGACTGTAACCTTTCCAAACATAATGTAGAACACACTCGCAAGTTGAGGAGAATCACCGGCTTTTGCCACCGTAAAATGCGCCCCGGTCGAATCGTAGGTGGGGTTTCCTAATGCTGTGAAGGAGTTGACGGAACCTTTGGTAAAGTCGACGTTGATTGATTTTCCCAAGGCCGTATTTGGGGGGCAGCTTGCTGATTTTTGTTAGCATTGAAGGGTAGGAGGGATTGAACATAAAGACTTACTGGAAAAGAGGGGATTGCATGCGGAATAAGTTTGAGCATTTACCGGGTGCCATGACAGCACCGCGGCAGCAATTGTGAAGAAGGATTTCGAAAACATGACGCTGGGTAAAATATTGTACAGAGGAAGAGAAGAAAAGGAGAAGGCGTTGAGAAAAGTCGGTCTGGTGTAGATGCCGACTTATGACAGCGCACTCTCGTGGTGAGCGGCTTGCAGAAGCAAACAGTAGCGGGAGGAAGGGACGGGAGGGGAAGAGAGGGTTGTTATCAGATGTCAATGTCAGCCCGACTACAAGTGCCGGTGAGACACGGTCAGAGAAGAATGGATTGTTGTTCAGAGACGTGGATGAATATGCAGATACAGATGCAGCTTCATGCAGATGCGATGCAGCTACAGTACAGTACTTGACCTACAATAGCTAGGCGGGATGGAAATGGCAGTGGGAATGAGCACTCTTTTTCTTTAAATTGGGAGCCATTTCCAGCCACCAGAGAAGCTTGGAAGCTCGTAGAGAAGAACGTCAGCAGCAGGGGTGCTGGGCCTTGGTTAAGCGACGACCTCATTGGAAAATGGTGCGAAGGCTCGTGTATGTACGGAGGGACGCATGGAAATTTGAAGCCATTCAAACGGGGAGGCTGGGAGATGGAGCTGCGTGTGGCGTGTGGCTTCCGATGGCCCCGCTCTGCCTGGGTTGGACTTTCGGGAGCGGGGCCGACGTCAGTGCAGTGCCTTGCCGATGCGCCGAGGAAGAGGCTGGCGAGAGAGATAAACAACGAGGCTGGGACTTTCGCGACCGCAACAACCAGAATTGCGACAACAACACACAGCTCCAATTTAACAACTACTTCTACACCGCAGTCCCCAGGACGCGGAAAAAATCGCGACAATCCACTCATCAACCCACCCGGATGCCATTTCCGAGTGCTTGTTGACCTCTTCGCCTTCTACTTCTACCACCGGGTAACCTGGTTACCCAAACCCCTTGCGCGTCGACCCTCGACCTCGACCTCGACTCTTTGCGTTGCACTTCGCAAATCCCAGCGAACACTGCATGTCCGGATCAAGTGATGATGCGACTCGACTCGAAAGATGAATACACCGTATATCTACTTCTACGGTACCGAGTATCGAATAATGCCATCGTTGGACGGTTGGTCCCAAGACACTTCCTCGAGTCAAGAGAAGCATATGCTCTGTGCGCTTCCCGCTGCTACTAGCAAGTGCGGGTGTTTCGCCTGCGTGTCTTTCAAGACTTTCCCCATCTTGGGAAGCCCAAGGGCCAAGCCTCGGAGCTAGAAGTCCTTCGCTTCAGGTTTTCAATCTTGAGGCTAGCTACGCCTAACCATCCATCGTCATCAACCATTCCTTCGGCAAGAACCACAACATGGTAACCCTCGAATCACGCTTGGCTTTGGCTTTGGACAAGCAAGGTCAAGGCGCTCGAGAATGCATGCTACCATGAGACTTCTATCTGTTCCATCGTCTGTTCTTCTGTATATACTTTCACGAACTATACTTCAAAGTATTTTTACCACGTTTCGCTCGTCCGGTGGGATATCGGTGGGTGACTTGATGGTTGTATCACCTCTTTCGTATGACGAAGATTTTTTTGGGACAAGGCTAGATCCATTGTCCGTTGCACAAGAGAGTCGTTGGATAGGTCAAGGATCGTTGCGGTGATGCTGTGACTCGGAAATCGTCATGAAATTTCTTGGTTTAGGCCGAGGGTGAGAGAGTTATGATTGGTTTGAAGACGAGCTATGAAATGCCGGACGAGTTTGTGAAGAGACGGCGGCGGTGTGCGTGTGCGAGAAAGCGTTTCGTCTCGCGGTCGAGAACGAGAGCGGATCGAGATGCAAACATCGATGGTTCGAAAAGATAACAATCCAACCTGCAATCTTTCCTTTCTTGGGCCTCGCAACCAAACACGAGTGTGTCTTGAGCCCTCACATACTCGTATTTAAGTGTCTTACGATCCAAGAGGAGGCTATATGAGGTAATAGTCCAGCCTTGATCAAGACCATGCTCGAGTTGACTTTGACCGATTCAAAGCATAAAATGTGATGAAGTCAATGAACCCGTCCGAGACAGAGATGCCACCGTACTGCAAAGTTGAAGCAAACTTTTCTACAAACTGGTGCGGATAGCCGAGACGATGATGCCCCTATCCTGGTGAGGAAGTCAATTGCGCATAGTTTACTAGTTGCGATGAAGTGGTCACTCGCTACACGAAGTATGGGGAGGAGGAAGTGAGTACTCGCACCTACTCGCACCTACTCGCGACTGTACACCCTCGAGAGCTAGAAACGCGAGAGCTACAGTAGAAGTAGAAAGTAGAGAGAGGAGAGGGCTAAGGATTGGCCCAGGTAAAAGATGAGCATCAATAAGACGTTGAAGTCGAGTACACACCACACCCAAGCCCAACCTAAGCCCTCCATACATACCCGACGCACTAAATTCCGGCAGCGTCTCACACGTTTGAGCCGCCTAGAAAGTTGAAGTGCCAGGTATTCACCCCTGGGACCTCCTCCTCCCCACATCCTCTCACAGCTTCTCACAGTCTACAGGGGCTGGCGACGGGAGTCTTTCAGGGACTGGCCGCTGATTGCTGTTGAGCCTCTTCAGCGGTCCAAGGCCCCCTTCTGCCCTGTGGCTGCTCCTGCTCCTGCTCCTGCCCGCCTGCAATCGGCGGTAATACCCCATGCCCACGGTGCCACGGTGCCCACCCAGGCGTGAAGTGCTGGAATCTGGATGAATGACATCGATCCCATGCAGCCTATCTGACACTACTCGAGTACCTAGGCGTGTTAGGGTCAGTAGGCTACCCTACCCTACACTCACAACCCATCTCTACACCTACGCCCGTCGTACTCGCTCCCCTACCCCTACCTACTTCGTACGGTACCCTAACCTTACTTGTACATTTTCCACATTGCAGCTTCTGCATCTGCCTCTGGTCTGCCTCTGATCTGTCTCTAATCTGCCTCTGCCTGGCCTCCTTTGCCTCGTACATAGAGTAATTACCTCACTACCTCACTGCCTACCACGCCCTACCCACACACACACTACACTATACACTCCACTCCACTACATGAGCTTCAGCCCAAAAAAAAGCACGCACACTACACTGCTACCCTACCCTACGCTACAGCTACCGAGTACCTCATCGACAGCTTCATGAGCACACCTACCTACTTGTAGCCGCCCCTCAACTACGTCCCCGTCCCTGTCCCCGTCCACGTTCCGACTGGCGCCCTCCTCATATGGCCCGTCCGCCAGCTCTGATTGCTGGTCCACTACCATGACCAGAAAGGATGTTCCCTCGCGCCTCTCGACTGCGACGAGCTCCAGCACTGACACTATCAAACCCGCGCCTTCTTTGTTCCGAGGCACATCTCGGCGAGGTGCCCCAGTAAATGTAAAGACAGATTCGAGAAATAAGTGAGTATTCATGAAGATCTAGGGTCGACGTCAGAAAGTCGGGTTCTCAGAAATACCAAAGAATTCCATTGTCTCAGACCTTTCCCGTTCCCCGAGCGGAAGCTCTGCTCTTGTTCTTTGACTGACGGGAGCTTGCATTGCGCTGGTCATAGTTCGACGATCGATTCGGAATCTCAAGTCTCGCCCACCTCCATCGCACCGCGACCTTCAGCAGCTTCTCCCAATGTATCCCCGTGGGAACATAGAATGACCGACTTCGGCAACTATCGTCGTGACCTGGCGGTGCTGGAAACATCGNGGGGGGGGGGAAGCAGTCGTATTCCGCAGATCCACCACAATCCACCCTCAGCTCAAACTTCACCCAACCCGATTGCGCCTTGGATGTCGAATGGAGGTGGCAGTGGAGGGGGAGGCGGAACACCAGCGAGCACCTTTGCAACCAGCTTCTACAACGACTCGAGCGATGCCTTGTCGCAAGCTTCCCAATTGTCTCCGGCATTTCGCCCTGGCACTGGATTTACTGGATATACCAATGTCAGCGATTCGCCCTCGGCCGACGTAGAGTTCGCAGATGAGAGACGCCCATCGGTAGCCAGCGTGACGACGGCGAGCAGTACGGGGTCCAAGTCGAGCGTGAGTCGGGCGGGCATACACAAAAAGCTACATACCTTCTTTGGAGAAGACCCGGCGAAGGAGGGGTCAGATACCAGCTTGCCTTTACATGGAAGGGAGCACCGATCGCATTCATTTGCTCGTAGCCACCGCGAGCGCAATCACTCTGCGACGACGGAAACAGCACAGAGAGAGGCATCGCCAGCGCCATCTCGACCACGAACCCCAATACCATCCAGTGATGTCGTACCCTTTCTTTATCAAGATTCGCAGGTTAGTGACTATTTCGAGTTCTCTCAAAAATCACTCCATCATGCCGATATCATCCCGGGGCTTGGAGAGTGCAGCTACCACCAACTTCCTCATCTAGCCAAGCCTACCCCTGTGAAATAGCGGGACTACAATTATGAATTGGCTCTTGAAGAAATCATCGCCGAAGCATTGCTAATGCACAAATTTAGGACATCACGAAATATGGAGAGGCGCCCGTGAGAGAAAAGCTTTCGGGTCCTGATCGAGATCGGTACGAAAACGCAGATAACTCCTCGAAGAACTCGTCACGTTCGGTACATCTACCTGGTCACAATCACAGGCACAATCGAAGCAACGAAGATACTCGGCCTCTAAGGCCTACGATGAGTAGGGAGAATTCGGCGGTCAGCACAAGGCACAAAGATCGTGGCCCATTTGCGTTGGGGACGTCTATGGGAAATTCGTCGAATAATAGCCTGGCAAAGAGACCCTCGAGTCCTACCCCAAGTAGCATGAGCGCATACAGTTCATCCACGGCCAAGGGGCCCCCGAATGATAGATCCACATCACCAACGAGAGAGACGACAAAGAGAGGTTTCTTAGACCGACTTCGAAAGGGCAGCAAAAATAAAGAAGGCTCGTCTAAATTGAAGGATCTTCCCGCCTCCACCCGGTCTTTCAATCCTCCGGCGCCGAAATACAATAATGAAAAGATCCAGGACTTTCAGGACTATGGTCAGTGGGGTCGAGAAGGGAGTCTGGCCGGGTCCGATATCAATCTCCCAAGATTAGACAATGGTCCAGCCGGGCGCGTGCCGGCTAGCAGTTCGCGACAAAGAGCTGTGAATAAATTTCCCTTCCGAAAAGGCAGAGGGAAGGTGGCGGATGAATCGGAGTTTGCGCCCGATTCCAATTCACGAAATCGACAAATCGCGGGGTCAATATTCAGTTTAGACAAGGATCTTTCTAATATGGAAGGAATCCTGGCCAAACCAGTACCGTTAACTCCTCTCCATAACAGCATATTCGACGACGAGTCTGGGATTGAAGGTGAGGGGGTCGCAGGCGCTGGTGCTTTAGGTTGGGATGCTCCTGACAGTTGGGCAGTCAAGAAAGTACAAGACGACAACATGGGGCGACCGGAGGGGATAGATGAGGCCGGAGTAACACCCAAGGCAGATCAAAAGGGGCCACCATACTGCATACGGATATTTAGAGTTGATGGAACGTTTGCAACGCTATCTACCCCCTTGAACGCTTCCGTGGCCGAGATCATGAACCAATTGGGAAAGAAGACATACATGACTGATAGTCTGGAAAATTACCAGATTGTGATGAAGAAGCATGATCTCCAACGTATCCTAGGTTCAAGTGAGCGTCCAGTAGTGATACAGAAGCGTCTGCTCGAACAAGCTGGATATCAAGAGCAGGACAAGATTGAAGACGTAGGTCGTGAGGACAACAGTTACCTCTGTCGATTTTCTTTCGTCCCCGCTCGAGAAACCGGTTACGCCAGTGTAACCAATGATCCTGGGGTCAGCCGGGTCCAAAAGTACAGCCATGTTGACTTGTCGGGACGAAACCTCATCACCATCCCAATCGCTCTCTACTCCAAAGCCTCCGAAATCATATCCCTTAATCTATCACGAAATCTCTCTCTTGACTTGCCCAAGGATTTCATACAATCTTGCCAAAACCTTCGCGACATCAAATTCATCAACAACGAAGCATACAGGCTCCCACCTGGTCTGAGTAGAGCAAATCGACTCACTATCCTTGATGTGTCCAACAATCGATTGGACAACATCGACAGCGCTGAGCTTGCCAGGCTAGAAGGCCTCATAAGTCTAAAGCTTGCCAACAATCGCCTGCGGTCATTGCCCGAATACTTTGGTGGTTTCAAATCCCTGAGAACACTCAATGTGTCATCAAACTTCTTGGAATATTTCCCGGATTTTCTGTGCAACTTGACGGGGCTTGTCGACCTTGACATGAGCTTCAATGGAATCTCTAGTCTCCCAGACGAGATTGGCAACTTGAAAAATCTGGAACGGTTTGTCATTACCAACAACCGCCTGACGGGCGAGCTTCCAAGCACATTCAAAGACCTCTTGAACTTGAGAGAAGTCGACATTCGTTATAATGCAATCACTAGCATTGATGTGATTGCTACTCTTCCAAAGGTTGAGCAAATTTCTGCAGACCACAATTACGTGTCGGTTTGCGAGTCGCATTTTAGTAAAATTCGTATACTTCGCCTAAATTCGAATCCAGTCACGAAATTTGAGATACAAAACCCCGTACCGACTCTCACAACCCTCATTCTGTCCAATGCAAAACTAGCACACATTCCCGACGCTGTCTTTGACCGTATGCCAAATTTAGTAAAGTTTGTATTGGACAAAAACCACTTTGTGTCACTGCCCAGTCATATTGGAAAGCTTCGCAAGCTGGAACATTTCAGCATCGCCATGAACGCTTTGAGTAATCTACCTTCCGAGATTGGTTGTTTAACCGAACTCCTCTTCTTGGATGTCCGACAAAACAACATCAAGAAACTTCCTATGGAATTATGGTGGGCAAATAAACTTAAGACTCTGAATGTGTCCTCCAATGTCTTGGATATTTTTCCAAAGCCAGCTTCACGAGCCCCACGAGTTCCAGGCGATACTTCCCCCGAGCGAACGCCACAACCTAGCACAAACAACAATCAAAACAACGCAAATGTTGAGGAGCTCGGCCCCCTCGAAGCATTTGGTAACCGCCGACCAAGTCAAGCTTCCGGTGGACTTCTTAGTGTTGGCGGGTCCCCAGTTCCTACATCTGGAGACCGAAAGGGCTCTGTCGTCTCCTTATATGGAAAGGGTGGTAGGAAAACATCGGTTGTATCGAGGAGCGCATCCGAGACGACTCTCGGGACGCTGACACCACCTGCTGCAAGCGCACGAAAAGACTCTGCCGTGTCGAATAGGTTCTTCAATACGTTTGCGAACTCTCTTCAAAATCTCTACTTGGCTGAAAACCAACTTGATGATGACGTATTCGACGAGCTCAGGTTGTTGAGTGAGCTTCGTATTCTTAATCTCTCGTATAACGACCTCAATGACATGCCTGTGGGATCTATCAAGAGCTGGCCATCTCTGGTCGAGCTCTATCTATCTGGAAATGAGCTCACTTCTCTACCTTCGGATGACTTTGAAGAATTGAGTCTCCTGCAAGTGCTGCACATTAATGGCAACAAGTTCCAAACACTTCCTGCCGAACTGGGCAAAGCACATCGACTCGCTGTCTTGGACTGTGGGAGCAATTCGCTCAAGTACAACGTATCCAATTGGCCATACGATTGGAATTGGAATTGGAACACCAACCTTAAATATCTCAATCTCTCAGGCAACAAACGTCTGGAGATTAAACCAAATATCTCAAGTACTCAAGGCGGTCGTGAAATACCTGATCTCACAGACTTCAGTGCTCTCCAGCACCTTAGAATTCTGGGCCTGATGGATGTGACATTGACAATTCCAACAATTCCTGATCAGACTGAAGATCGCAGAGTACGCACTTCGGGCTCGCTTGCTGGCCAACTAGCATATGGAATGGCAGATACTCTAGGTAAGAACGATCATCTGTCAATTGTTGACATGGTTGTTCCAAGATTCAGTAACGATTCTACTCTGCTGGGCATGTTTGATGGCCAATCATTGTCGAATGCCGGATCAAAAATTGCACGATATCTACACGAGAACTTTGGAAACATCTTTTCTGATGAGATACGCAAGCTGGTTACCCCGAAAGAGACTCCTGTGGACGCCTTAAGGCGAGCCTTTCTCTCACTCAACAAGGATCTGGCAACGGCAGCAGCACAGTTTACTGAAGAACGATCGATGACAACTCATCGAGGGTCATCGTCATCTGTGGTTCTCAGTCAGGCCGACTTACGCTCCGGGGGTACTGCTACTGTCGTCTTCCTGCAAGGATCCGAGCTCTATGTTGCAAATGTAGGAGATGCACAAGCGATGTTGATTCATTCGGAAGGAAGCCATCGCATCTTGACCAGAAAGCATGACCCAGCAGAACCCGGCGAGCGTCAACGAATTCGTGACGCTGGGGGTTGGGTCTCTCGACAAGGAAAATTGAACGATATTCTAGATGTCTCCAGGGCTTTTGGATACGTTCAGTTGATGCCAGCCGTTCAAGCTGCACCTCACATTACCCATATTACAGTCAAAGAACAAGATGAAATGATTCTCATTGCATCCAAGGAACTGTGGGAATACTTATCCCCAGAACTGGTGGTAGATGTCGCACGAAATGAACGAGGTGACCTCATGCGAGCTGCGCAAAAACTTCGGGATTTGGCAATGGCTTTCGGGGCTACCAACAAGCTTATGGTCATGATGATCGGAGTCAGCGATCTGAAGAAGAAGATTCGACCTCATCGTGTTCAAAGCTTGTCTTTCAATCCATCAGCTCTCATAGACGAGTATCCTTCAGCGAGACGTCCAAAGAGGGTAAAGGGTGAGGACATCGAGGACTCTAATCTTCGTAGACTTCCCGCTGAACTACAGGCACCTGTCGGTGAGCTTGGTATCGTCTTTACCGATATCAAGAGCTCGACATTCCTTTGGGAAACTTACCCTAATGCAATGCGCTCAGCAATCAAACTGCACAACGAAGTCATGCGGCGTCAATTGCGCCTGATAGGTGGTTATGAGGTGAAAACTGAAGGTGATGCTTTCATGGTTTCATTTCCCACCGCTACTTCGGCGCTTCTTTGGACCTTCGCAGTTCAGCAAGCACTTCTGGAAGTTGAGTGGCCTTCTGAAGTTTTGTCGAGCATGCTGGGTCAAGAAATCTATGACAGTGACCAGAATTTGATCTTCAAAGGACTGAGTGTCAGAATGGGAATACACTGGGGATCACCCGTGTGCGAGAATGATCCTGTGACTCGACGTATGGATTATTTTGGTCCAATGGTCAATCGAGCAGCACGTATATCCAGCGTTGCAGATGGAGGTCAAATCACCGTTTCGGCAGATTTCATTTCCGAGATCCAGCGATGTCTTGAAACCTACAGTGACAGTGATCGTAACAACTCAACTGGTTCTGTTGAAACCCTGGAAAATGATAGCATGGCGCTCTCTATTCGTCGGGAGCTTACTAGTCTTAGCACCCAAGGCTTTGAGGTGAAGGATATTGGAGAGCGGAAGTTGAAGGGGTTGGAAAATCCTGAGTACATCTACCTGATGTATCCTCATTCTCTTTCTAGTCGTATCCAATATCAACAGCGCATCGTTGATATTGACAACGCTGCGGCTGCTGCTGACAAGGAACAGCCAGCTTCACTGTCTCAGAAGACACAATTGAGTATTGATACTGATACTGTGTGGTCGCTTTGGGCTGTTAGTTTGAGACTCGAGATGTTGTGCTCGTCATTGGAGGGGGTCAAGGGTAAAGGCACGCCTTTGCAGGCTCCGGAGACTGCTGTGATGGAGAATATGAAGAAGAAGGGTGGAGAGGTTACTGATCGATTCCTGGTGAACTTTATGACGCATCAGGTTTCCAGGATTGAGGTAAGTTTCTTTTTTAGGCTTCAATTACATTGTGCGTCGACTAATATTCGTGATTGTAGACTTGTATCTCTGCACTTGCTACTCGCCATCTTGCAGCTGGTAGTCCGCCGATTCATAGTCTGGATCAACTCCGTGCACCGATGGCAGATGTTCTTGAAGGGTTGGGAGCACAGTTGACGTTGTTGCAACAGTATAAAGCGAAATATGGGGATCTGAGATGAAGATGATGTTTGGTTGGAATGAAGACAATCAATCTATGCTCTAGTGTTTTGCATGCGTCCGGGGTGCATGCCGCTTTCCGGGTTTGGGAGAAGAGGGAAACTGTGTGTGTTCGCCCCAGGAGTTGGGGGAGGGGAGATGATGTATATCCCCAGCAACTCACGGCCATGGGTTTCTTTTTTAAATAATTGGATGAGATAAAATGGGTGGATAGAAATCTTGGGGGTGGGGGTGGTGAAAAGGGGGTTTGTTTAGGTAGCGTGGGTGGGGTTCGCATGTAAATAGAGGGCTTTTGTTCTTTTTTTATTTTATATAGTAATTAGCT